ATGCTGATGGGCTTACCGAAGAGCTGATCGGACGAAGACCGGTAGTCATCGAAGGAGAGTTCAATGCTTGGGCAGTGGAGTGGAGAAGCAGATGTACAAACGCAAGAGGGCACATTCTGCAGGAAGCTCTGGCGAAGCTGGAAATTAGGCTGTCCAATGAAGGCACCACCAGCACTTTTCGCAGAGATGGCCGAGAATCAACGTCACTTTCTGTAGTCCGCCGCTGATGGTAAACATGAATTGGAGAGAGTGCGAAGGATATACCCATAGTTACCATCAGGCAATCCGATATAACATCTGGCAACGGAATCATGTGGAGGACGTGAACTTGCGACCTTAAGTGGAACGAGGCAATTAGCACCCTCCACGCTAGTTGTCTCAGTGCCAGAAGACGTGTTCAGAGAGCAAAAACAGAAGCAGACAGAGAGGAACGTAGAAGTATGTTCCGAGCGGTCAGGGCCACACATAAACGAGAGATAAAGCAGAGCAAGTCAAACCGTTTCAAGGAGCTGTGTCGAGACGCTGCTGCCAACCTCTGGGACGAGGCACACCATGTCGTGATCAGGGCCCCACAAAGTCACTTTCAATCAAAAATCGTCAATTGGCGATGAAGCTGTCAACCATCACTTTCAATTGACCACTTTGTCAAGCAGTTTTGGCGTGACTTTCTACCAGCGTTTTCACAAAACTGGAGCAACTAATTTCTATTTTTTTATGAAACGCACAAATGTTGGCAACTTTTCTAGGAGGCGAACCAGCCCAAGGCTGAAAGCCTCCCTAATAAAGATAAATAATAATAATACTTTTCTAGAGGTTCTAGAAGAAAAAATCTCAAAATAATGTTTCATTTCAAAGTTCGACTGGTAGTAAACGTCATTTTATCTGCTCGAATGAAGTGGTTAATTGAAAGTCATTCTGTCTTCTCTTCGAGCAGATCCCTGTCAACACCAACAGAACCACTTTCGATCAGTTTTCATGCTGTTTGTTTTGGCTTGACTAGTGTTGATTTCTTCTTTCATTGTCAAATGAACTTACTTTTGCATTGAAATGAAGCTGTTCGATCCAAATTCGCGCAGTTTTTATTACATTTGTTGATTGTTCACTCGGTTCATTTAAGCGTGTGCGCATAGATCTGTGCAATTGATCATATTGTCGAGCAGTTTTGGGACGACCTTCTACCAGCGATTTTAGGGAAATGAAACAATACATTCCAGATTTTTCAAGCATATAACAAATAAGACCCTATTTTCTCGAGGTTCTAGAAGAAAACATATCAAAATATTGTTCCACGTTAAAGTTCGAGTGGTAGGAAACGTCATTTTAAACTGCTCGAATGATGTGATCCATTGCTTGTTAAATTTATTATTGTTGGGTGGTTTGTTTACCCATCAATATGGGTATTTTTTAAATCGGGGTGACGTCTAGAAATCGAAAATTGATATGCGACGCCATTTTTAAATCCAAGATGGCGGCTTCCAGTTTAAGAAAAAGTAGGAAATGCTGTCAAATGCTTATCAATAAAGGTATTTTTGGAATCAGGATGATGCCTAGAGGATGAAAATCGATATCCGACGGCATTTTGAAATCGAAGATGGTTGCTTCCGCTTTACGAAAAAGTGGAAATACAGTCAAATACACATCAATATTGGTATATTTGTATTCGGTATGAAATCTACAGATCGAAAATTGATATGCGACCCCAATTCGAAATATAAGATGGTGGCTTCCGATTTCAGAACAAGTGGGAAATATTGCCAAATACCCAGTCTAGAGGCCGAAAATCGATATCCGACGCCATTTTTAAAACCATATATGGTGGCTTCTTATTTTAGAACAAAATGCGAAATTCTGATGCTGTCCCATCAATATGGATATTTTTGGAATCAAGGTGACGTCTGGAGATTGGAAATCAATATCCGACGCTATTTTGAAATCCATGATGGCTGCTTCCGGTTTAAGAAAGAGTTGTAAATTCTATCAAATACCCATATACACGGTTTTTTAAGAATCAGGGTAACGTCTAGAAGCCGGAAATCGATATCCGACGCCGAAAATTGATGTCACTTTAAATCCAAGAAGGTGGTTTTGGTTCAGAAAAACTGTGAAATACTGTCCAATACCGATCAATGGTTTTTTTTTTTTAATCGGGCTGACATCTAGAAGCCAGAAATAGATGTGTGACGCCATCGCGAAATTCGAGATGGTAGCTTCCAATTTCAGAAGAAGTGCCAAATAGCATACAAATGGCATCATATATCGATTTTCAGCATCTACGCGTGGTCTCCGTTCCGAAAATACCCAGATCTTAGGGTATTTGACACTTTCTGTGAAACGCGATGGCCGCCATATTGGATTTAAAAAAAGGCATCGAATATCGATTTTGGCATCTACACGTTGTCCCCATTCCTAAAATACCCTAATTGTAGGGTATTTGAAACTTTCTGAACCCTGATGGCCGCCATATTGGATTCCAAAGTGGTATCTGATATCGATTTTCGGCATCTACGCGTTGTCCCTGTTCTGAAAATAACCATATTGTAGGGTATTTGACACCTTTTTTGAAACCCTATGGCCGCCATATTAGAGTGCAACATAGCATCGAATATCGATTTTCGGCAGCCACGCGTTGTCTCCGTGCCAAAAATACCCATATCTTATGATATTTGACACGTTTTAGGAAACTTGATGGCCACCATCTGGGAGGCCATCGCCGAAGCGCTGCATAGAATGAGGGTTCCTGACTACCTGTGTAGGATTCTAAGGAGCTACTTCCAGAACCGGGTTCTGGTCTACGAAACAGACATGGGACAGAGATCGGTTAGGATCACGGTGGAAATTCCACAAGGCTCCATCCTTGGTCCAACGCTCTGGAACGGGATGTACAACGACGTGCTTACGCTGAAGCTGTCCAAACGAGTTGAGAACGTTAGCTTTGTGGACGACGTCTTCTTGCGGTAACATGCAAGACGCTGGAATAGATGGAAATGTTGGCCACCGAGGCGATCAACATGATTAGATACTGGATGCATGGAGCGAAGCTGCAGATAGCTCTCAACAAAAGCAAAGAGGTATTGGTCAGTAACTTTAAAGCGGTGCAGCGGACAGAAATCACCGTTGGGGAGCACGCCATAGCCTCGAAGCGCGTGTTGAAATACCTGGGAGTGATGATCGACGACCGCCTGGGTTCTATAGCCACGTCGAATACGCCTGCGAGAAGGCTGCGAAGGCCATTAATACGGTAGCCAGAATCATGCCGAACATCTCGGGACCAAGCAGTAGTAAGAGACGGCTCCTGGTTAGTGTATCTATGATGATACTGAGTTATGAAGGTCCTGTCTGGGTTTCGGCGCTGGAATCCAAGCAGAAATGAAGGATACTGAACAGTACGTACCGGCTCAGCAAACCGTAGGCAAACAGTTTTGTCTTTTCAAAACGTTTGGTGTACCTTTTGTTGTAAGAATAGTAAACACTTATCAGTTAGTCCATTAATAGTGAATAAATAATGGTTAATTTTAAAATCATTTTGATTTGGTTTGCATTCCAATTTAGGAGGCAGATTAAATGTGGATGAAGACAGAATTTTATGTTGTGTTTTTGACGTAGGACTACGTCTGTGATTTCTATATGGGGGTACACTTTGTGAAAACCGAAAATGGAGCATGTGACAAAATTATGAAAGATTTTGAACGTTAATAACTCAGCTGCCAATGCACCATTTTCAATAATTTTATCATCAATCGATCAGAAATATTTCTACGCATCTGTTAAATTTAAAACATTATCATTTTTCAAAGTGTCACTATTGAAAATTGCACGAATGTGCAACTGTTGCTATGATAATTAAAATTATCACCGATTGCCTGCACAAAAAGATATCCCTAACACAGATTTCAAAGTTGAATTACATCCGATCTCACCAAACGGTGTTTGTTCAATCACCGCGTGGTGAGTGGGGGGTGTTCTCCAGTACACAACGAAATGCTGCCTGCAAGCAGTGAGCTGTAGCTACAAAGAGTATAAACAGAGAGAACTCCGCTCAAATTCCTATTCCTACAAAACACAAGCTCCTGCTGCAGTTAACAAATAAGATTTATTAAATAAGACCACGTAGTCCTACGTCACCATTGCATACAACCCCATAGGGCTGTCCCTTGTTGTTTTTTTTTGCAATGCAATTTTGCTCATATGCGCAGCTTCGTACGCAGGTTTGATAAGAGGAGCTCATGTAGATCAAAATTTCAAGGCTCACTAAGTTTTGAAAAAAAAAATCGTTTTTGGAGCTGGCTACTAATGAAGTAGCCATGTTCTGGGACTGTCGGCAAACAGGCTTGCTGAAACTCCTCACTCACTGGAGGTTTTAAAACACTCTTGTCCTGCGAGTTTAGCCAGCCCTTACCTCGAGTGAGTGGTGGCCGGAATATGGAAGAAGTAAACAAAAACTCCTCAAGAGATAGGAAGAGTGAACTTCACCGAGAGGATGATTTGACGTGAGGTGCACTTTTCGAGACTCCGGTGTCTTTTTTGTTCGACGCAAGAAGCTCAGAGTTCACCCAGAGTGAGAGCAAGAGCGTGTGATAGAAAACATGTACATTAATGGCAGCAAACCTCACTCTCATTTTATCCCCCTTCGCTCACAAGCTCTGAAGCTCAGTGGAATCATTTGGCAGTAGGCATTCTTCTCCTCAGAGAAATGCTACGCTCGGATCATTTCAAACTCGCGAGCGAGGCTCTATCAAACCTATCGGCAAATGCAAGCTAGAACGTTTCTTCTTCTGTGCTTTTACAGCACAAAAGGAAAAAAATCACATCGGATGATTGTTATGAAAAAATGTCAACATTTACCAGCACTGGGCCTGCTAGTAAAGCACATACATGCCGATCGCAAAGCCAAACTTGAGACGAAATTTATAGAATTTACCAAATTTACTAAATCAACCAAATAGTTTCCAAAATTTGATTATGATTACGACGAATGCGTACTCAAAGTAAAACAAACTTACGATTGCCTGAAGTGTTTTCAACGAAATCGAAATGTTGATGTCTGTTGTATAAAGTCACATCGGTGGTGACGCTTTGCCCGAGGAAGTTGAAAACTGTCACCTGAATCAGTGCCACCTCACCGCGCTTGATCGAGTACGGTAGATTTGCAATCATGTAGAACGGTTTCCGCACAATGAACTTCTCCGGTTGTTTGACTACCCCGAGCCCCAAGGTGGGACTCAGCGCAAATCCTGAGACGTAGTACGTGGTGATCGTATCCGGAACATATTCAGTTATCTGCATGTGAGTGCTTTTATTCTCCATGGTGTAGTTACCCCACAAGCAGGACTCGTCGAACACAGTGCGTATGTGGATTGCCTCTACCGCAGACTTTCCAATCCCGAGTAGCGATCCGCCAAAGCGATACAATTCATTAGGAGCTTGAACTATTGAAAAAGAGAGAAACAAATTATGACATTTGGTACATCCATCAATGTGTTTTTGCAACTTACTCGAGTCTATCTGAGAAGTAGATCTCAGAAACAATCCCCATTTCTGTAAAGAATCAAAAAATTCCACAATCAAAGTAACTTTCCCACTTCAACTGATGCTAAAACAAAGCTTTCCCTTACATGGAATAAATCGAACTCATCGTCATTCGTGTTTCCGTAAAGTGAGAGTTCCTTCAGCACATCTTCTTCGTTGAAATTGTGACGCTCCTGTCCCACTAGCAGCACACTCTGGTCAATTCCACTGAACGCTACGTACGAGTCACCAGCAGCATACACGTCGATTCGGATGTCTTCCCCTGGAGTGTATTGGTGCTTATCCAATGTGAATTTGAACTACAGAAAATCAACGCAATGATAACATTCTACAATCCCAGTAATGTACCAAGAAAAACCTACATCATTGTTGAAGGTTTCAAACTTCAGTTCACAGTCATCGAAAATCAGGAAATCCTCATTGGTGTAGTACACAATAATCCGAGCCTCCGGTGCCATCTCCGGTAACAGTTTAAGCTTAAACGTGTATTTCCTTTTATTCGCCACTGGCACATTCGACGACGCAACGATTTTTCCACGGGCAACCACGACGTAGGAGAAGTGCGTCATAGTTTTCGTACAGGAGACATCAAATGAAACGACTTTGTTTGCTCGGACCCTACGGTAGATGCACAGTTGAAATTAATCGGAACTGATATCCGAATGACAATCAGAATGTTACCAACCTGTACTTTGGATTCCGGTTAATCTTAATGTACTGCTTGCTTTGAGATTGAACTCCACTTATCCTCTCTTGGCTCGTTTCGTACTCAATGGAGTCGTATGTGGCCTGAAAGGAGATCACCCCGGCTATAGTTCAGACAGTTACTGTTCTTGTGAATAATGTAGAAACTCGACATGTGGTGACAGCTTTGATCATTTATATGAACAGTAGACGCTCACCGTAATTGACAGTTGTAAGGCATTCGGGCGAGGATCTAGAACGACCACTGCCTCTCCATGCTTGTTGAGTGCTGCTTCCATCTCCTGGATGTCGCTGTCTTCAGGTAAATCAAATTCCGCTCTCACTTGAACCGTTCCAGGTTTTCCTTCACTCGGAGGCCGACCAAAGTGGTCTTTCACAACCAACTGCACTGGATATGCAACCCCTGGCCGAAACGCAGCTGATGACGGCACGGCCGTAACTACGTATGGTTTTTGATAAAGCGGAATCGACTGGGTAATGTTCATCGTTCGATCTGTAAGCAATTTTTCACACATTATCGATAACAGTTTTTAATTGATTAAGACAAAAATCGCACTGGAAAAAGCTTCCGTTACAGTAATCTTCGCGGTAACATCTGTACGGGTATCAACTTCACCAATATCAGCTTCATCTCCAAGATTAAATTCAACGATTGTTTGGCCAGTGATTCGAGTAGTGGTGGAAAATTGTGGATCAGGGGATGTTTCATCTATATACAGATCCACTTGGACAGTTCCGTCGACGGGTTCACCAAACGTGTAAGCTGTTTCCACCATTATGGAGATCTTTTTATCTTCCACCAAAAGCACCTTGGAAGGAAAAGCTCGAACGAAAAACTTCGGCAATACAAACTCTTTCAGTTCGATCTGCTTGGTGACTATAACCTGTTACAAGAGTACGTGTTTCAGCTTTAAATCACACATTTCTAAGACAACCAGTCAACTTACATCGTCGGAAGCCTTAACAGTGATTGTCCAGTTTCCCAATACCGGTGAAGAGGCTATTTGCACCGCTGATTCGAATACGCCATTGTACAGTCGAGCAAATGGCCATTTCCTAATAGACGTTTCCTCTGAATCATCCAATGCAATGTTTACCGTTTGTATGCTCTTGACCGGTCTTGTGTCTTCATCAATCACCACTATCCGGAATCGTAACAGCTCGCCGGGTTTGTACACAGGTTTGTCGGTTTGGATCAATACGGACATTGACTTCGGCTCGAAATCCAGCTCAACGCGTTGATATAAGCTTATTCTTTGATCTAAACCTTCCATGGCCAGTGTGTATTGGCCTCGCTCTATGCTCCCCAGCTGCAATGTAAGATAAACTATACGCATTGAAAGTTTGAAAAAAACTTAACGAATCTTACGGCGAAATCGATTGATTGTACTGATCGACGCTGCACTACGATGGGTTTCACCATCTTCAGATCGTCTTCATTTTCTAGCGATAGCTGTACTCGAGCGTGATAGTTCAGGGAATTGCTCAACACTACCGTATAGTTGGTATTCGGTCGTATCTTCTTAGGACCAATTATTGATAACCTGCAATGAGTGAGGTTTGGTAGTGAAATGTGTGGTTAATCTGGTTGATTGTCAGAATTTAAACCGCATGATTTAAATTTATAAGAATATATTGAGCTCTTCTTTTTCGGTTATAATGGAAACTGAAACAAATTGGAATGATTCAATTAAACGTGAGGAAATTTTAGGTGGTGATTATAATGTTTTCATAGATGACCGCGATTCAGTTTTAACTCAAAGAATGTCAGGTGGTGAAGTTCTTATCGCAATATCATCAAATTTTAATTTGAAAGTGAATTGTCTCTTCGAAATCTAAAGAACTTGAGCATGTGTGGGTGAATATAAATATAGCTGGTAAAACGGCAGCCCTAAGAATGCACCTTTGGAATAAATTCTGGAACGGGCAAAAATTGGTCAACTTCAAATTGGTGTATTTCTGTGCTTAAATGCTGTTTTTCGAAGTTGAGTGTATATACAATGGTTGCTATGATGAGTTTTCACCGCTTGCTCTTCAAATTTCAAAATGATGTCCAAGCAAGAGGAGCAGCGTGTCAAAATTTTGCTCGCGCAGCAAGAGAATCCGATGTTCTCACACGCCAAGTTGGCAAAATTGTTGCTGGATGTGGCCAAATCGACCATGACAAACGATTTAAAATTGTTCGGGGACCTTCTGTCCACCACCAGGAAGCCTGGAAGCGGCGGTATTCGTAATCCGGACGTGGCAGCGACGACGAAAAAGGTGGCGGTGAAATATAAGCGGAATCCTAACTTCTCCATCCGGGACGTCGCTGGCAAGCTCAATGTCTCCCATGCTACTGTGCAGCGGGCCAAAAAACGAGCCGGGTTGTCAACTTTTAAGAAGGTGAAGGTGACGAACCGAGATTACACACAAAACACGTCGGCAAAGCAGCGGTCCCGAAAGCTGTATTCGAATCTGCTCACAAAGTTCGACTGTGTCGTCCGTTATAGACGACGAAACTTATGTCAAGGTGGATTTCAAGCAGCTTCCGGGACAGGAGTTTTATACCGCTGAAATTTTCAAAACCATCAAACTATCGAAGTTCCCGGAAAAATATATCTTGTCTAGCAGGCCATATGCATGTGTGGTCTAAAAAGCGGCATTTTCATTACTACGGGAACCATCAATCAAGAGATCTACGTCCAGTAGTGCCTGGAAAAGCGACTGCTACAATTTCTAAAGCAACATGATACAGCTGTGCTGTTCTGGATGGACTTGGCGAGCTGGCACTATGCGAAAAAGGCAATCGAGTGGTAAGATGTGAACAACGTGGTTGTGGTACCCGAAGACCACAACCCTCCCAACAGCCCAGAACACTACCCTATCGAACGGTATTGGGCCTTGGTCAAACAGAATCTCAAAAAAAAATCCATGAATTGGCGTTCGGCGGAGAATAAGGTCGATGAGACCACTGTGCAAAATTTAATGGAAGGGGTTAAGCGGAAGGCACGGCAGCTCGGATTTGGCAAACCAAAAGAATAAACGAACATTTTTTCCTTTAAATATATGAATTGAACTACCAAAAGAAAAATAAGAATTTTTGCACGTTCCAGTCTTTAGATGAAACGACCCATTAATAATTGAAAAATATTCCTTGAGAAACACCCAAATGATCTTTTAAAACGCCGGTGCAAATCCCTAAAAAATCAATATGTTAAGTAAAATTTAACAACACAATTGTGAGTGCAATTTTGAACCCCTTTGGATACGGCTGTGTTTAAAGTTTTCCTAGCAGCATACTTGACACTGAAAAATTGTGGTTACTTGTGTGCAACCCATTCCAGTCACAATCAAGTTGCAGCAACTTATTTCGATGGAAGTGTGCTGTTTGTGTTGCTCTCTGTTTTGTGCGTGCGTTCGCTTTCATAGTTTTCGGCTGCATTTGACGGATTAGCACTGGCACTTTACCTCCCGGATGGTTATACGTGTGTGATTTGGTGGTTTTCTCGCTTTCCGAGAAGTTTTAGAATCGAGAAAGAAAACATGATTCATCATGTTTGCAAGCATCAGAAGATTTGGCGCTATCTGCGTTGTTTGATTTTTTCTCCCGGACCAGAAATTTGTGGCATCGCGAGTGATAATATTAATTTCAGTTGATGATATTGTTTCGCTCGCAACTATTTTTGAAAAAAAAAAGTATTTTTGATCAAGTGTACCAAAAGTGCTTCTAAACGTGATTCGCAGTTGAGTGTGGTGAAATTCGTGCATTCCCGATTGATTTTCAGTGGAAATTCCGTATCAAAAAATTGCTCACCGATTCATTTTTTTTTTTTGCCGTTTGACGACAACAGGTGTGCTTTCGCGAGAGTGACGTTTATTGGATCCGTTTCTTTGCACGAGTGTGTTTTTTTTTTTGGTAACCAGCACACTTACACACCAAGTGTGCATGCGATTTGCATTGCCTCCCGGGAGGCGAGTTAAACACGGTCCGGTTGGAAAATTAGCCGGGGAAAGTGCTGATAATGTGTCCGTCGCGAGTTTTGGTGGTGATTCGGTGGCCGACGTTGCCGTGAATCAGTGAGTTCACGGCTTACAAAAATTCTCGTCAGCTGGTCTTTCACCAGTGTCGGACCTTGTGAGCAAGCTGAAGGATGCCTCGCTGGATACCACTGGACGGGTGGTAGCTGGTGGCCGTGAACGGTTATTGACTAGACGCGAACCTCCTCTTAGGTGACTATGGCCATGCAAGAAAAATTGTTTTCGTTGAAGGAAGTACTACAACAAAGATAATTGCTGTTAGATATTTTTGCCAACAGTGCCAGATAGCAGATATGATGCTCAGGTGGAGGTGCCGGGCATAGGTGTTATATCCTAGACAAATGGTAAGTTACAAATTCGCTATTGTCGTCGTCGTAGTCGCTGTCGTAATCGCCGTTGTAGTCGGCGTAGGCAGTACCGTTAGTATATTTAAAATTAACGATCGGCCGCTGAAACTACATGAATTATCGCGTGTTTCTTTTTTTTTTCATTACATACCAAGTGGAAACTTCATCATATTTTGCCGTGGAGTGTGTGGTTTTGAGATGCTCGAGAACCCTAGAGGGATCACTTTTGCTTAAAGAGCAGAACATCATGGGTTTAATCCCAAGCTCTCCCACAACATTATTAACCACCATCGTTGGGTTCCGAGAGCATAAAGAGCAGTTAATAACCATTAGTTTGAATTGTTTAAACCATGAGTTTCGGAAAGGGTGTATGCGTGAGCTAGTTTGGAAGACATTGTTGGCTGCTTTCAGAGACGATAGTTTTTGTTTAACTGCAGAAGGATATAAATCGTGGCGAGTGTGAATTAATCTCCCCGACTATCGACTGTCGTTGAAGTAGGCCTCAGAACTGGCTAAGTGGCCTCCCAAAGTGCATCAGTGGTTTTATCACATATGCCTGGAGAAAATTGGATCATTCGGGTAAGACGGTTCCTTTTTGTTTGCTTAATTTTATTTTAAACAGGATTGGAATTTAAATTTAGGAGCTCGGCTAGCTTGGTAGCTGCCGCTTTTGCTTACTGAGTAGTAGATCGTGGGTTTATTCCCAAGCTCCTCCAAAAGAAAACATGGACGTGTCACCTGCTTAAGCTAATCCTGATCCATCTCCTACCAAACTATCAAACTTCGCAGCATCTATGGGGGGCATCGTTGAGTCGCTGGCCTCCCGTTAAGTAGATGTTACATCAACAATATCCTTCCTTTCCCCGTGATGGAGAAGATGGGCGTGGCCGGCAATGGTAATTGTCATGCTTTTCCTGTTCTGAACTTTGGAGAACTATTCAGTCCCAAATAGTTTTCCTTAAGCAATCAGAACCAGGGCGTCTCAATATCAGCTTCAATCGACTAAATCGATGCGACGAAGAGACTGCTGGCTTTCTTTTTCTGTTAAAGTCGAACAGCTTCGCAGCATTCTAGAACCTCAGTCTGCGTGCACAAACAAATGTTCAATCGCTTGTCTCTCTTTCTCCCGTCGCTCCATTGGTCTTCCTTTCAAGCTTCGGTGAAACGGATGAGCGAAAGAGCGCTCGACTTTGATAGTTTTCTCTTTCATGAAACACATCAACAGAGGTTTCATGACGTATATGACGGAAAATGAAATTACGTATTTAAAGCATTTCTCACGTGAAAACACTTGAAGATTACATGTAATATGTTTAATTTATCTTCCATCCACACATTTATCTAAAAAAAAAGTAGAAGGGTCTGTGCCTAGGGGGACGAACGGAAGCTTGACGTAGGACCGCTAGTGGACGGAATAAATGTGAAGAGCATTTAGTTCTTTTAATTGAATTGTAGGCGTACCAAATGTGTAGTTTTTTTCAACGAATCAATCAAAATCACTTGCACCCCTGCTTCCAAGTTTGGCTACAAGATAACAACTCTGGAGAGCATTTTGTGTGGTCGTTGGAGGCTTGTGGTTCTGAATATGGACAAACAAGCACAGATAAATTCTTTTACAACTCTTTACTGATGTAAGCTTGATGGCCCTGACCCTGGCCCTGACGACCCAAATTTGAGTTTAGTTCACTCATAATCGCCAAAATTGCAGGAAGTCAGCGATGAGTAAATTTGTCTCATGGTTTGAAAATGAGGAAATTGACGAAAATTTTATTCAGTCTCGGGGTAGTACCAATAGACTGAGTGAATCCAATCTTTACTTTTCTCAAATTCGGGGCTTTTTTTCTGGAAAATCCTGGAAAAACCTGGGAAAACATGAGGCAAATTTACTCATCGCTGAGTTCCTGCAATTTTATTTCTTATATCTGAGATAACTAAACTCAAATTTGGGTCGTTATCATTCGCCGTGCTACCTTGAAATATATCGGCGGTGGTGGTTAGCGTGATCACCTCTCATCCTAACAGGCCTAGGTCCAATCTCAGCCGGCGCCACCGGCATGTTCTAAGGCATAACATCTCTGATCACGCCTTCCTTTGGGAAGTAAAGCCATTGGTCCCCGGTTGAGTTGATGGGTCGATTGGTAGGGTCCAGGTGTGGGAGCTGCCTCCCTGGCTTCGGT